AGCTCTGGAAAACATCCAGAAATCCAAGGAAAGGTCAAAGGCTTACTATGATCAGCGGTCCCGGCCAGTCAGGTATAAAGTAGGAGACATGGTTTATCTCAAAAACCATTTAAGGCTGCGGAAAGCTCTTTCCCCAATCTGGAAAGGCCCCTACAAGGTCATAAGCGTCCATTCAAACAATACCCTGACGCTCTTAATCAATCGACGCCATGTAAAACATCACTTCGATGAAGTGAAACCTGCTTAGATGTAAATAGATAGATAGAGTAGTCCTTAGGTTAGATAGTAGGTCATTAAGCAGTAGAAATAAAATTATTCTATTATTCTATTCCAGTTCTACCATTTCGCTTACGTATGGAACCCTCGTCGAGCCCATACAAAGTAACCCAGGAATTTATTTTAACCCCTTGGGACACATGAAAATAACTAATGAAGATCTTAGCATACTTGTTCCTATGGACATTTCTTACATTCCTTCGCATTTGGAGAATATCAATAACGCTCTTAGCACATCCCGTTTCCTTTGCCAGCAAAACGAAGTTATAGAGGATATAGAATGTCATAATTCTCTACAGCCTTTGCGATTGCGTTATCTCGATATTCTGAAAGACTATCAAGCCGTTTCTCATCTTATTTCCAAACGGTCAAAGCGTTCTGCTTGGTTTGCTGGAGTTGGCACAGTCTTCAAACACATTTTCGGAACTATGGACGAAGATGATGCGATAATGTATAACAGCGCTCTTCAAACTCTCCAGAGTAATGATAAAAAATTAACATCCCTTATTAAACAGAATATTTTATTAGCAACATCTGCAATTACTAACTTTAACGAAACCTTAAAATCAATTAGTGTAAATGAAGCTCGTTTGAATGACGCTGTCGAGAAGTTATCTGTCGATTTAAGAAATCTGTCAATTGTTTCAAATATCCTAAATGTTAGAATAAGCATTAATGAAGTTATTAACGTTATCGAAACTAGCCTACTAACTCTTTCTTTCAAAGTCGATGATATGTTAAACTCTATTCTGTTTACAAAAAGCAATGTTTGCATCCTGCGATTTTAACACCGAATCAATTATATAAAGAACTTATTAATAGTGTAAGTCATCTACCTAGATATAGAGAATTTCCTATTAAAATAGATTTAGATACTATTCATAGAATAATTATTTTGTCCGACTTAAGTTGTTACAGCGTAGATAATAAAATTGTATTCATAATTAAAGTTCCACTAGTACATCACACAGAATATTATCTGTACAAGAATATCCCGTTACCTGTGCCTCATAATTCACAGAACCCCAACTCCTACGCAATGATAATCCCAACAACGGAGTTCATTGCATTAAGTGAAGACAAAACATCCTTATGTACCTTATCATTGTTGAACTCTTGTAAACAAATTGGTAGTCAGTTGTTTATATGTAATAAAGTAAATGAATACTCGTCTGTAGATTCAAGCTCTAGTTGCGAACTGGAAATAATGACAAAGAGAGTAACTTCTTTACCAAAATCTTGTAATGTCAGATTTTTATCCGGAAATGTAAATATTTTAGAAAAGCTGAGTGATAACAAATGGTTGTATGTTCAATCCGAAAGTAGTAAACTATCTATTGAATGTAACTCAGACTTAACTGAACTAAGTCTATCCGGTACAGGTGTCCTAAACCTACCTGAAAACTGTATTGCATATTTTAAGAATATTCGTTTATTTTCTAAGTCTAGCCCTAAGATTAGTATTAATGAGATAAAATCCGACTTTAATCTGATCAATGATACTTGCTGTAATATCGAGAAATTTAAGAGTCACTTACCTTCCATGTCTTACATTAACTTAACGTCATTGAATCTCGAAAACCTATCTGGAATTAAAAAGTAAAGCTGATGATATACTTACCGATTTAAAGTTATTAGATAATCAACCAGATATTCTAAAGTCAATTAATTATACTTACCCTTCATTGTCTATTATTAGCATACTAAGTATTATTGTACTTGTAATCTATCTTACATTTAAGATGAAATGTTATGGAAAATGCCGCCGTCCCGTTCCAAAACCTGAAAATCCTGAAAATATTGAAATCCCTGAAATTGTTGAATCATCCTCGCGTCCCAGAATCAAAGTCATGTAAAATTTTGTATTTAGCATAAACTTCGCATTCTTAAAATGCGTAAGTTTAGTCTTCCGCGGGGAGTTGTTATAAAATAGCTATGTAGGTAAAACTGCTGAGCTTGCATAGATCCCCTCCTGAAATCTGAAATGCATAGTCATCTTTTTGAACCTAGTTCCCAGTCCCAGTCAGTCCGTCCTGAACCTCCGTGCGCGGCTCACATATTTTCTCTCTGAATCTTTTGTATTTCTAATTCAAAGTTTTATTATTTCAAAATCCTTTGTGTTTAATTAATTAATAATAAATTTAATTTTAGTTTCAAATAAATAGTTTTTTTTTAAAAAGCGCTGACGTCGGCCCAGTATAACAGCTCGATACAGCATATACAAAGTGTCCAAATAATGTTTTTTTTTAGAAAGGAACCAAACAAGAACTAAATAATCCGATGACGTGACATGATATCGTGACATAGAAATTACTTGTCAAACTCTATTTGACATCTCGCCAGGACCTAGGGCAAAACAGGGACGAAAAGCCTGCGGAATTGATTTCCATACTAAACGAGCCGGCGGAAAGCTATTGATATTATTGATTTTAGCTACCTTGTTCTCTATTCATCATCTACCGTCAACCCTCCTTGGGAATGCTTTTGTGGTGGATTAACCGCCACCATACGGTTGGCCCTGGCTGTTTGGGTCGGGTTTATCCCTCGGTTGCCTCTTACGACCCCCACGGGAAGAGAGGGGGTGGTGCTATTCTACTCTGCCGGCACCACACGGCTTTCTGCCGGCACCACACGGCTTTCTGCCGGCACCACACGGCATTGTTCTCTATTATGTAATGTTTACCAAGCTATCCTATATTAAATCCCTGTATCTTTTCACCAAGCGTGTAAGCACACTCTACATAGTCTACATTTTGGCGTAGTGCCAGATCTGGAAGAACTAATTACCTTAAACAGGCAGGCTACAGGACATCCCTGGCGCCATTTTTGTTTGCTGAAAGCCTGGACAATGTGTTGAGCAAGCATGATAATAGAAAAAGAAACACTCTAATTTCAAGTTATATTTTACTAGGCGTTTAAAATCCGCCATTTTAAACTTATGATAAAACTTGTTCGTTACGTACATAGAGTACCTACATACATACATACCCTTGAAAAACTGAGCTTCTGAGGCAGTATGTTATGTTTTTCGAAAGTACGTATGTAAGTAGTATGTGAACAAGAAATTATTTTTCACGGATCACAACTCAAACGGCTGGGATTTGTTGAGGTGTCGTCTCAGCAGCGCGATTGTTACTGGCTATATTAAAATTTCATAAATTCAAACGATGAAAAATAACTATGAAATAATCACAGTCGTGTTTTTGTTTTTAATATATCTGCGTGTTCATTCTGTTTCTCTATACTTGAAGACATGAAATCTACTGGAAATATTTGTCCCCTTTGCTTCTTATAACTGAATCCAAAAAGTGAGACACCACACAAAAACCCAGGCGACACTTAATTAAAAGCAAGCACTTTCATCCGTCTGTACGTAGGGTTGCCTCACGCAAAATCTTTTTCACAATTTTGTTGTTGGCCTAATTTCGTCTTGGTTTTCATGAACTGGCATAACTGCTTTCAGCAGGCTTCAGGCTTATAACTTGCGCGGATGAAAAGAATGGACCCGATTTGGCAACATTGTTTTTAAGATCCTGCTCATATCATTATGTCATATAGGTAATATGATATGATGGAGAAACCCACAATAACGTTCTCTATATTCGCGTATGTTATACTCGTGAAAACTACTGAAAACCACGACGATAATTATGTTCCTTCAAAAAGTTGTTTTTATGACCTACCCGTCCTGAATTTTCGGCATAGTTTTCGATTTCGATCACTAGTAAAACACCTAATATGCGTTGAGTTTGACGTGTATAGGTGTTTGTGCAAATAAACACGACCATTATTCTCCAAAACCACTTAATTATCCGATTTTAATGTGGTTTTTAATAATATAAGTTTCGCTTTTGTTTGGTATATCTTCTGAGATGAGAGTGTTAAACTAAAAACTGACCAGGTGGCGGGGCAATAGACGTTTTATCACTTTTCAATATATTTGAACTTTGATTTTGCTATGTTGTCAACCCTAGAACGTGTTGAAGGGTGACCAATCAGCGTCAATTCCCGCCACGAGGACATGATCAATCAAGAACACATACAAATGTAAAAACAATCCTTATACAGGGTGTCCTCCGAGGTGCAAAGAAAAAATCTAGATTCTAGACATCCAATAGGTACCTATAGCCAAAATAATCGTTTATTTGTTTGAATCAAAATAAAAGACCCTCTATACTAATTACGCTAACAGGTTTTGTAATCTTTCTGTTTCTTTGCTACTTTGGTAGCTCAGGATTCAAAGCGTGACACCCTGTATTATTAGTTGGAAACCAAATCGATATTTCTTGATTGAATAATATTCAACGCACTGCGATCAATTTGTTGGTGTGGTCACAAATTAGGGAGACGGCGCGTGGGGCGCTTTACAGATGGCTCACTCAGTACTAGCGACGATTTTGACGCTTACTAGAATGAACTCAAGGTATCTAAGAAGATGATTGCCCCGAACGTCATATTTCTTGGATTAAAATTGACCCAGACCCAGAATCATAATATGCCGTTCTTGTATCAGATTTTGCTGTTTTGATATTATACTTTGAGATTTTTGACAGTAGCAACCAACCCTAGCTATGTAACAAGAATCGCGAAAATCCTAAATAGGGTCGAGTGAACCTTCTGTAAACACTCCATTTTGTTGTGTAGCTATTAATAAGACCTTAGACTTTGCTTTCCGTTTTTCTACCATCTTCGCGATAAAATATAAAGAAAATTGAAAATTCACTAGCGTCCGCCGGGACTTGAACCCTGTACTGTGGGTGGATCACCGTTCCACCGCTCTACCGACTGAGCTATGGGCGCCTAGCGGACCCTGGTGAATTTCTCAACCTCTTGATGCTCGTTTCGACCATCTTTTCATCAGGATGTATCTCATGAAATGTGACACTATCTTTTCTTTCTTTCTTTTCATGTGGGACACCAAGTCGTTCAACGACCCGATGAACCCTGGTGTGAGAGTTTTTCAACCGCCTACTGCAAGTAGCAGGCCTCTGACATGGCTTTGTAACGACCGCCATCACCATCATACTATCTTGTCATCAGGATGTATCTCATGAAATGTGACACTATGGAAAAATTATGTTACAGAAACCTCGAGTACTCCTTGCACTTGGCTGATTTTCACACACTTACCTAGGTAATACAACTAAAATAGGAAGACTCCTTACGAAATTAATTACATTCTCAGAATCAGACTTCCCAGGTAACATTCTAGGAATTCCTAGACTTCACTCCTGTGTCTCCTTTGGAACGTAATTTTACAATTGTCTGAAAATGTAGGGTAATGTTGAATAACTTTCAAGTACATAGTTGTAAGCAAAGATGTTGAAAATTTCCTAGTACATTCTACGTTAATTACTAGAAGCTCACGGTAACTGAATTATGGTATATTTTCATGTCTAGCAGTGGACATTTGTGGCTATTACGGTTATGGTTATGGGGCTAGTCGAAATATTTTAGGTATAACTACCGTGTATATCCGTGTGATTGCGCCTAAGAATACTGCCACCCCTAGTCAACTTACGGTGTTTCTTAAAAGACGCCGTAGAGTTTTTGACCTCGGCTGAATATCTGTTGTATGGTCAAATGCATGGTGGCAGTGATACCACCTACAATAGCGTTCCCAAAGAGGGCTGACGTCAGGCAGGTGGCCGGTCATAAAACATTGCCAAATGATTTTGTGTTCAAAACATGTTGCGCTGACCCCGACTGATTTGGGTTAAGGGCAGGGAGACGATGATGATGAACTACCGTGTTGACCCGGAATGTAGATTTCTATTTAACTTCAAATTTGTTATCAAGTATCCAATCAGTTTTGTGTATCAATTTGTTTAGGAAAAGCCTACAGCTCCTATTAAAGGTCTTAAGACGTTCCCATAGGCCAGGTGCTGCCCTCAACATCACTTAAAAATTCATAACTCGATCTCTCTCTTTTCGTGTGGGACATCGAATCGTCTAATGACCCGATGAACCCTGATGGCAGAGTTTTCAACCACCTACTGCAAGTAGCAGGCCTCTGACATGGCTGTGTAACGACCGCCATCATAGAAATCAACCGGGACCGACGACTTAACGTGCCCATCCGAAGCACGTAACCATCTTACTTGCGGACAATCAGGTGGTTCAGTCAGCCTGCAATGTCCTAACCAGACTGGGAACAAATAACATAACTCGATGAAAATGTGATTTATCGAAAATCCTCTCGATCAGATTGAACTACACTGTAGCTGTACAGAATACTCAAGCTTATTCCAGGGCTGCTCAAATAGGCCATATTTGACAGCTATCGAAATCATGTTAATGCTATGACATAATAGGTCTATTTTTCTTTGTTGACATGTCTTGTAGTATGGGCTTGACAGCTGTCAAATATGGCCTATTCGAATGACCGTACTTTAGGCGAGAAACACACGCAATGTCCGTTTGTGCGTAATTTATTCGATTACCTTACTTTCATACGAATACGGGTTATGTCAAACGGCATCTCACAACACTGCGTCGAGGGATCCGTCTGTCAAACCGTTTGACATAAACCGTATTCGTAAGAAAATAAGGTGGTAAATCGAAAAAACAACGCACAAACGGACGTTACAGTGTGTTTCTCGCCAATGTCGTTTTAGGGTTTCGTAGTCTTAGAAACCCTTATCATTTCGGTAAGTCTGTCTGTATGCTGCGCCGTCATAACTTCGTCAGTTTTGGTGGTATCGACATCAGATTTGGTGTGAAGATAGATCGTGTTGACCCTAACTTAGACATATTAAAAAAACGTTTTTTGGACCCCCTTCCCATACATGTGAAAGGGGAGCAAAAAAATATTTTTCTTCTGTAATATTGAGTAGGGTATCGTAGAATAGGTCTTTTAAAACTAAGAGGAGGTTTCTTTCAAACAAGTCTCTAAAATGTTTGTGCCTTGAGATATTTTACATGATTTGGGATAAGGGCAGGAATATGATGATACTTCTATAATGGACTCGTACATTTTAGATAAATTACGATTAAAAATTTTCTTATTGATGAGAGCAGCACCTAGCCTATGGGAGCGTCTTCATAAATTACTTCCTAAGTTTGATGAAATCCTGATTATTTCTTGAATAGCCTGAAGGATTTCAATTAAATTTGTATATAACTTTAAAGCCTATTTGTCGTTCAAATCCTAAGATTCAAATAGGCTAACCTTAAGCTTGTAGTTATTTATTAAATCCGGAAATTCGCGTATTTCCTAGGCAATACGGAACCATCTTGCTTTTCGTGTTCAGCCTGCAATCAACGAACAAATTCACAAAGTGATAAATATCAACTTTGTGAGTGACCCACCGGGAATCGAACCCGGAACCTTCTGCGTCGTAAGCAGTGGCACTACCACTGCGCCACATCGGCCGTCAATGCTCGCAGTCGGCCAATTAGTCTAGCCAATAAAGCACAGAGCCGCACTCAGGTGTTTAATGTGGGAAAGGGAGGATATAGCTGGTCTTCTTTTTCTTCTTCTTCGAGTGGGACACCAAGTCGCCCAACGACCCGATGAACCCTGGTGTCATAGTATTTCAACCGCCTACTACAAGTAGCAGGCCTCTGACATGGTTGTGTAACGACCGCCGTCATAGACAGCCACCGGGACCGACGGCTTAACGTGCCCATCCGAAGCACGGACTTTCTTTTCGGACATTCAGGTGGTTTAGTTTGCAATTTCCTAACCAGATTGAGAACAAATTCACTAAGTGATAGGTATTGACTTTGTAAGTGACCTACTGAGAATCGATCCCGGAACCATCTGCGCCACATCGGCCGTCAATGCTCGCAGTCGGCCAATTAGTCTAGCCGATATAGTACAGACCCGTACTCAGGCGTTTAATATGAGAAAGGTTAGCTGGTTTAAACAGGGAGTAACAGAAAGGATATAACAAGCCGAAAGGAGGTCAAGGTACTCAAGATACTGAACAACTTGCCCCATGGAACATGGGTCGAAATATGAGAAAGAAAATTTGGACCTCCCATCCCATACAATATTTCTGATCAGTTAATTAATTTATATGTATATCTTTGAAATTATTATAGTCAGGTTTTATTTTCGAAAGATTAGGCTTGAATTCAGGATTGCGTCTATATGGCCCGCTAGTACGAACCTGGAGCCGAAAATATCGTTCTTAGTACCTACAGTTCAGGACTTTTAGGATTCTGACCTTAGTTCTGACGAACATAGGTCGAAATATGAAAAAATATACCGCCCCATAAAAACTGACCCATCCACCTTAGTTCAACCCTGTCTACAATAAGTCGTAATATTATAGCTGTAATGCCGATTGATTGTGTACCGTCAGCATAATGTCGATATATCGATACGGTGAATGTCGATATATCGATGCCATGAATGTCGATGTATCGATGCCATGAATTGTAGATATGTATCGTAGGTAAGTACAGGATAGTTCACTTAGGCACAGATGTACGTTTGGTTGATAATAAGATCTAAGATTATACAGGGTGTTACGAAAAGTAGTGCGTTATTTTTTAAGATTGAACAATAAGTATTTTACAAGTTATAAGTATAGGGAGTAAGAAAAGGGTATAACAAGCTGAAAGGAAGTCCAGTTACTCATGAATTTAAACAACTTTCCCGACGGAAAATGGGTCGAAACATGAAAAAAATTGGTACTCCCATAGTAAATCAATCAGCTGATCGGCGATTTTGTATAGGGCTCCAAATTTTTTTCTTATTACTCTATGAAGCTTGCACTTTAAGGTACTATTATTTTTACGTAAAGTAGATCCATTTGTTGCATGGGCTGATTGTCACCATTAGAAGAACACATTACTTTACTTACTTTCTTTAACACTCTGTATACTAAAGTAGGTATTATGTGATGTGAGTCGCCTCTACGATAACGGATCTGACAGCAGCGCTGATCCGCCACTACGTAAGGAATTATTACCAGACGTGTTACATTAATAAAGTCATAACAAAATTTATCGCTGCCTAAAGTTCGGCGGTTTGAGTATGCCATATTTGACAGCTGTCAAACCCATACTAGAAGACACATCAACAAATGAAAATAGACCTTATGTCACATCATTTTGACTGCTGTCGAATATGGCCTATTTTAACGGCCGTACCATAGAATCTATATGTAGGTATGTCTTTGTTTGTCATTCTAAACTAAAAGATTATGTTCTTTATTTCAGGTAAGTTGTCAAATAACTCATTAAGCTACCGAACCGACCACATAGATCAGTAAGTTGATAATAGTAGCACAAAATAGAGAGTTGACAGAAGGTTCACTCGACCCTATTTAGGATTTTCGCGATTGTCACTTGTTACATCGCCGCGGCTGCTTCAAAACGAGGACGAAAAAGCTGGCAGTGGCTCCTAATAAGATAACCACAAATATTGGGTGAAATTTTACTAGTGACCGATAGCAAAAACTCAGAACTAGCTGGTGATAAGGAACAACTTTCCCCAAGGAACATAGGTCGAAATACGAAAAAAAATTTTTGGACCTCCCACAAACTTGCCGATCAGCTGATTTCACTTACTATGGGAGGTGCAAATTTTTTTTCGTATTTCGACCTATGTTCCTTGGGGAAAGTGTTCATTCACTAGCCGGTTCTGAGTTTTCGCTATCGCTCACTAGTAAAATTTCACCCAATAAGGTAAAGTATAAAATATGTACGTAGTTTTTATGATTATGTTACCAAGAACATTAAGATGAATAATACTTCCAAGTATCCATAATTCTGCAAAGCAACATCCGCTGGTTAAATTATGACTTAATGGCACAAAAAAACGTTCATTTTAAAATACTGCATACACAAAGAGATTCACCTACTACTGATTTTCTCTTTGACTAAAACGGCTTAATATAATTTAAATTATTAAACTCGAACAAAGTGATTTGCAAAAACAGTCTTTATGCTGAAAGTAATAAGGCCTTAATCTGAGATTATCCGGCACAACAAAAGCTGTAAAAACATGTTTAAAAGCCCCATGGAAGCGTAAAGGCCGGAACATAAATAACGAAACATGGCTTCTGGTAGGGTGACCATAGGTTCATGGGAATTTGGGATAAAGTTTGTAGGTGTTAGGAAACTAACTACTTCTTACTGAACTAGAGGTAACTCTGTAGCGTCTCAGCGTTGTATGTCCCATTCTGAAAATGTATTTTTATCTTGCATTGCATTGACTTTATAGTTATAACACGATGTAAACGGCAAAATCTCGTTCGACAATCGTGATTGATTGACGTATTCTACGATACAAAAGTTAAAAAAAGCCCATATGTACCCTAATGTTTACATGATAGGTAGGTATTTAAATAGGATTTTAGATTTATACATATAAAGACACATAGTCGAAATATGTAAACAATCCAATGGCACAGATGATACAAAACTCGTTAAAATTCATTTAGAATTAGAATAGAGAGTAGTTCTGAAAAACCCCTAGAAAATAAAACTAAAATGGCGGACGATCCCGACATGAACAACGTTCTTGCGAGAAGCAATTTTCATAACTTGCGCATGAAACCGTCTCTGTGTGTCCGTGAACATTATATTTATTCCCGGGGATTCGAATAAACCGACTGGAATTATTGACTTGATATAAGAGGATGAGGAGGAATTTATATTTCCTAGGATATTCTATGTGAAATTTTCCTTTTCTACGTGGCGAAAGTTATGCGGAACGAAACCTGCATAGATGTGCCGAGTATATCGCTGACGTACTAAAAGTTAACTTATTATACTGAATGTAGAGAAGCATTCGATTTTATTGCAAAATGAATAAATCACTTACTTACTAGTACCTAAATTTAATTCGAAAAGCTTCGAAGTCAAACCATAAAATATGTAACAAAGCCTAAACTAGTCATTTAAAAGCAATATCTAGCTAAAAACAAGCACAAACATACAAAATTTTAATTGAAGTTAAACACGTGTAGCTTAAATATTTCCATGAAATACATGCGAAATCCTCATTGACTAGAATTTCAGTTTAAACCGGGTGCTACTACAAAAAAAATCTCGAAAACGTAGGTTTGCATAAACCGATCGTTTTCAATGAATTCCAGAAATACATTTTTCAGTAAAATAACATCTCATCAACTTTAGCTTAGCTTTTTTATTTGAATTGGACAAATTGGTTGGTGTTCATGAATGAACACTTAGAGGAAAAATTAGGGGAGGTCTATACGGCTGATAATATGATGATGAATGAAGTAAATCTTTAATTGGTTCATCAACTTGATTTCAAGGCTTTCAGTCATATATTTCATTTTAATACTTCTTACTTTATCAATAGTCGTACCTACAATTTTCTCGCGAAAACCATCAGGTATACGAATCAGTTATATTTTATAACATCAGCTAAAGATTATCTCAAATTCTCCTTAATTTATGGCGACCCTACGCCCACCACAGAACTTATCACGAATAAATTTTAAAAGTAATTAAACAGTGGACAACTGGATGTTGTATTTATTGTATTAATTTTGTAAAATACCGATTCAAACTTTACTAAAACTTGTGAAATTACTGCTTTTGTGGCCTGAGGTTTCACGCCAGGCCAGCAAAATGCTTTATTGTCTAGGGTACTTCGGTCATCAGTTGACTTAGAGCCCTTGCACACAAGCTATTTTTACCCGACGGCCTCAGAAGAGGGGTTATGTTTTTCGAGAGTATGTATGTATGTATGTAAATTCTTTTTCACGGGCTACAGCCCAAACGGATAGTTGGATTTTGACATGAGCTGTCGTTAGATTCGTCTCAGCAGCGCGAGTGACACTGGCTATATTATAAAAATATAGATTCAAGATGGCGGATTTTTCTGGGGATTTTTCGGAGTAGAACTCACTCGCGAACTCATAGTTGTTACCGTTAGCTATTTTTGTGTTTCATTCAAGATTGTAATTTGATTGATATCTTATATTTTGTTTTCGTCCACACAGGAATACCCTGGCAATGAGTAATGATTCAATTTTCTAAATAGGATCGAGTACGAGCATTGAATAACAATATGGCGGACGATAGGTGTTTTCCCGTTTCAACCCGTTGAAAAAACACACATCATACATACACAAATCACGCCTTAGTCCATTGCGGGGCAGGTAGAGCGTTAATCGTCGCTTCGAGACGAGCATCAAGAGGTTGAGAAAACCAGGGTCCGCTAGGCGCCCGTAGCTCAGTTGGCAGAGCGGTGGAACGGTGATCCGCAGTCCCGTGTTCAAGTCCCGGCGAACGCTAGTGAAGTTTTCAATTTTCTCATTTTCATTTAAGAGCGTAAGATATTTGAGGACCGTTTCAGTAAATCGTATATCACTATAGTGAGAGCCGGCATTACGGAGAGATACAGAAATTGGGTGATTCTATTCAAAGCCGGCACCACACGGCTAGAAAAAAATAAAAGAAAATATTTGCGTAAGAATAGGGACAACTCAAAGTTTGATGAAAGCATGTTCCATGGAGAAAGTTTTTCATTTTCACGAGTAGGTATGTACCTTCACCTCCTTTTGGCTTGTTTTACTCCTTTTGTTACTCGCGTTCCGGTAGGTAGGTACGGAAGGGAATAATAATTAATGTAAAGTGTCGAAACGGGAATACTACCTGCCATATTCACAGCATTTATCATGATTCCGTTTGCAATTATCCGCAATTTAAATCGATGAACAGCTATTTTGATCGCATCTGCCAGACGGGGATAAAATTGAGTGTATGGAATTATATGGCGACGATACGTATTAAAATTCTATCTAAAATGGACGCTAAGAAGAGTATACGAGATGTACGGGCAACCGTTTGAGTGCAAGGTGACTATGAAACTGAATAATTTGGCCTTAGGTACATAATGTAAGGTGACGATAAAAAGACCTCCCAACAAAAAAGTAAAAAAACGTTGCCTGAATTACCTATACCGGGAGTAACGGAAAGGGTATAACAAGCCGAAAGGAGTTCAAGGTAACTGAAACTGAACAACTTTCCCCATGGAACATGGGTTGAAATATAAAAAAAAAATTGGACCTCCCATACAAAATCGCCGATAAGCTTTTTTCATATTTCGACCCATGTTCCATCGGGAAAGTTGTTCAGTTTCATGAGTACCTTGACCTCCTTTCGGCTTGTTATACTTTCCTTCCGTTACTCCCGGTATATCTAAGTCAAAGTCAAAAGATTTTATTTGTCAGTAGTAGTTTACAAGATCTGTAGTGCAGTAAGGAAAAGTTGTTCAGTTTAATGGTACCCTTATTTTCCGAGCGTCGCGACAACGACGCGCGTCAACGACGCCGTCAAATTTTGACGGCGTCGTTGTCGCTGCGGTCTTGTAGAAAAACCCGACCGCATCCCATACAAACTCTAAGCTTCTCAGCGCGCTGTCAACGTCGACGCTCGGTCTTTCTGGTTCCCCATACAAACCAGTAATTTGACAGCGACAACGACGCGCGAATAAGAGAACTGATGTGGTCTGATGCACCCTATCATTCGGAGGACTGTTATCAGAGTTTTGTTGGTTTTCATACGAAAGTTTTATACTGGACTGTGCAGCTTGCCGTGTGGTGCCGGCTTAAATTAGCATCATCCCATAACTTTCCCGTGGATGTCGTAAGGAGCGGCTAAGGGATTTGAGAGTTGATGTGTATTGCAATTTTAGGTGACAGGCTGGCAATCTGGCACTATGGTGATACACAGTCTTCTGAGTGACTCTCAAACTTTTGTCAGACGTGGTGTAAATGGTCGTTTTGTACAGCCGTTACGATCTGCCTACCTCGCAAAAGATATAGGCGGGATGTGTGTGTGTAATGTACGGCCGGCGAGTGGTAGCGGCTAAGAATTCTGCCATCCCTTTTCTACTTAGGGTGTTTCGTAAAAGGTGCCGTAGAGTTTTTTACATATGGCTATCTGCCGACTTTGGTCAACCGCATGGTGGCGGTTATACCAACCACCCACGATAGCATTCCCAAAGAGGGTTGACGTCAAGCAGGCGGCTGGTCGTAAAATTAAGCCAAATCCTTTTGCAACATGATTTTGTGTATAACAAAACGTGTTGCGCCGACCCCAAGTAATTGGGAAAAGGGCAGGAAGATGAGTGTGTATGTAATGTACATGTGTATTGAACTGTTTTTACCGACATGCTCCACTTTTAAGCAATAAATTATCTTACATCACCCAATATTCATTCTGTGAATACATTTAAAGCTTTTCCCCAAATTGGTGCACTCTAGTAAATAATTCAAGTGTTCAACGGAGGATTAATCATATCGTCGCGACACACAGTTATATAGTGACCTGCATTTTACCGAGGTTTACACATGTGCCGTGCGAATTTGCGGAAAATACAACTGTTCAAAGGATTAAACATAGCGTCGCGAAACACAGTTATATACTGACCCACATTTTACTGATTTTACTGTGGTTTACACATGTGTCGTGCGAAGTTGCGGAATTTGATTTAACTGCTCAATGTGGGAATAATCATAATATCATCTCGATATACACACACACATACGTCGTATATTGTTGCGGAATTTTGCCACTAACGTTTAACGGAGGCACTTACGTGTGAACACAATCATAATAATTTATGGTAGCGATCACGTTCGTTGCACATACCTTACGTTTTAGCGTTATTTTGCCGATCTAGATTTACCAGTAATATGCGAACACACACCAGAAATATCTACGACTAATACTTTATGCAGTAATTTTCTTGGTGGGTTTCAAATACCGCAACATGCTGAAGCATTTGTGAGAATTACCTTACAGTGATATACTGAACTGCATTTTACGTGAGACCTTTATACGGACGTAAATACAGTTTTCATGCTTCATGCGTTTTATTGGCTGGTGTTTTTAACCGACTTTAAAAATAGGAAGGCTTTGAATTGAATGTTCTATCTTTTACACAATTTTTATAGGTATACCTACCTAGTAACGTTACGTACCTACGCTTTTATTTTATTTTCTTCTTTTCAATAAGGAAAACCATACACAATAATAATAAGGATATTAAAAGCCAATTATAGGATTTCACGAATTTCTTATTCTAACTTGTAATGTTTGTTCACGGAATCCGCAAAGAATGAGTAAAAGTCGTAAAAATTATGCTTCTCAAGTCAAATAATCCAATCATATTAGAATCTGATCATGGGATTCTGGAGAAATTTACGAAACTCCTCTTTAGACGTAAACTCTTTTTCCTCGTACAGACGAAGCCATTTAATTGGGTAAATTCTTCGAATAAGAAAACAGTTGAAGTCGGGGCCTAAACTTTTTAACTTTTATTTTCATATTTTGTTGTTTTGATTGTTAAATGTTGCGTGATTTTCTATAAAGCTGTAGTGGTTCGTCGCACGTCACAGTGGAATCCCATCACATCAGCCAATAGCAGGCCACTGCTGGACATAGGCCTTCCCCTGGTCACGCCACAACGCACGAATGGTATGAACTCCCGTTTTCGCCATCCTGTCGCTACCAGCCGCTCTCTTTAAGTCATCGGTCAATCTGGCTGAGGGTGTCCAACGCTAAGCTTGCCGAGCCGTGACCTTCACTCGAGAACCCGCTTACTCAACCACTCATTGGTACTACAATGAATCTGACTAGCCCACTGCCACTTCAGCTTGCTACACTTTCAGACTATGTCCGTTACTTTTGTTTCGCGGATAATCTCGTTCCGGACCTAGGGATTTAGGCATTATAGTGTAACACCCTGCAAAGCCCTGCATTCACTGTGATTAGTAGCGTCGTTACTCCACAGATGTCGCTGTACGCGTGGCGCTAAATCCTAAAACGCGGTGTTGAGATGCCAATGACAATAGTATATAAGAACCCGGCCCTACGTTTGTATTCACAGAGTACCTTTTTATGGTTTGGATTTTATTTTATGAACTAGCTCGGACTCGAAAGCCTTTTGCGCCTTTGTGTGTAACTATGTATGTGTACAAAACATAGTACGAGCAATCAACACAATTCATGTTGTGCATTATGAATGGTATGTACTTTAACGTCAGCGATGCATTTAATGAAACATTCGCACTGTAATGGATAAATTGTCAAGCCACATCGCCTGGTTACTACGCGGCGAAAAATTCCGCTTGAAACCTTAGCTTTGGGTGACTAACTAGACTTTTAATATCGATAGGGTTGGAGGGTCACCGTCTAGTAGGAACGACTGACGTCAACCCTCTTTATGAAATAAGCGCCGCGGGACTATAATCCGAGCCTCGACTATTGTCTAAATGCAATAGTCTAGTAACTAACGTCAATAGCTGGTTATAACTATTCGGATTGACATATGAAGCTGAAAATCGGCATGTAGGTACTTCGTGACCTCCTGATCAAAATTAGACATGGAGCCCAGCGGGCTCCACCCCCCTTAACCTTTTACCACCCCCCCCCCCTCCTTTACAAGGCGTAACTTTTGAAGTAATTGACTTGGAGGGTAGTTTTTATTTCATATCGTGCGTGACATCTCACTTGAAGCTTATTGTGCCCTCAAAATTACCCGGGGTGTCCCGTCCTTGTATGAGATTTTCTTATTTTCAAGCTATCGATTCCCAAGCGGTATCAAAAGTTGCGGAACTAGACACAGATTGCAAAAAACCTTATATATCTTTAAATAATATTTATCTTTAGGGCTTTGCCGAACATTAAAAAACATTAATATGTCGGTTTCGTAGTCACAACACTTAAACGATCGATAAAGCTCTAAAGAAAAATATTATTTAAAGATATATTAGTTTTTGCAATCTGTGTCTAATTACGCAACTTTTGATACCTCTTGGAAGTCGATAGATTGAAAATAAGAAAATCTCATATAAGAACGGGACACCCCACTTTTCGGGCTTTTGGGCTCCCGGGGGGCCTAAAGGGTAATTTTGAGGGCACAATAAGCTTCAAGTGAGATGTCACGCACGATATGAAATAAAAACTACACCTCAAGTTACGCCTTGTAAAGGAGGGGGTGGTAAAGGTTAGGGGTGGAGCCGCTGGGCTCCATGTCTAATTTTGATCAGTAGGTCACGAAGTACCTACATGCCGATTTTCAGCTTCATGGGTCAATCCGAATAGCTGTGACGTTAGTTACTAGACTACAACCGACATACCTACCTAGCGTAATCTCTCAAGATTTGAACATCATAGATCCGTCATTGATTCCCCAGGGTGTGGCCCGACATCACCCTGAAATGGATAATTCACCGTTGCTTTCTTGGTTATGCCGAAATTGCAAAATTTGCCAATTTGCAAAAGT